CCTCTCTATGCCAACCGCGTGCATTTCAGACAATGCCACACAGCTTATCAAAGTGGAAGCAGCGTTCGGTATGATGCGACGAACCTCAGTCAACTATAATGCTACGAACCTCGGCCAGCTCAGCAAGCATCGCTGCATTGCCATGTTTTGTCAATGATAGAGACTTTTCATGGGCTGATTTGAAGTGACGTCAGCTGTACAGTTGAGAGGAATGTGAACTGTGGAATTAAAACTTTGCATTTGTAGTTAGTGAAGGAACCAGGATGATGAAATGAGTCAAAGTATATAATCGAATGAATGGCCAGGATTCTGAATATACACATAGTTGATAATTTCCAGAAAACGTTTCCCGACCCTTTTGAGCTAAGATATGATTCTCATGATGATAGTACTAAAAATGAAAGAGTCAGGACCTTTCCCCCACACCTCTGCTTTTACTTCGAACGACCACCTTGCCCCCTAAAATGAGCGGCTGCTCATGGCTCCCTCAGCTCAACAATATCCGGCTCTTCAGGCTCTCCATCTTCTCCTCTGCCTTGCTTGAAGAACCATACCTTTCACACTGTGGACTGTGATGTGTGCAATCTTCAAGGTGGTGCTCTCGGTAGTACATTGTGTACTGCTGTAACATTTCATTTCATTTTTGGCCTCAGTGGCTGTGCCGCTAGAGTGTCCACTCCATTCGCCATGCAGGTGGTTACCAAGGCTATCTTTCTGATGCTTCTTCATGGCCCGGACTGCGTCATTTCATCACGCATGCCAACTCTGTCCACTTTATGGCATCACGCAAGTTATCCTGTGGCTATCACAACGCATCTTGCAGCAACCGTTGCAGCAATCTACACTTCGACTGGGCGTGAAATATTGACCCCCAACCCCTGGTCTTGGGTCCAGCTTGACAGGCACAATCATCATCGACAGACGGCATCACAGCAGCTGTAAAACCGCCGGATCTGCACTGCTTGCTTCGTGGGCTCGGTGGCTGTGCCGCTAGACTGTTCACTAACCCATTGCTATTCACCATGCAGGTTAGTCAATCTCACAGTTTATTCGCTAAAGGAACGAACAATTACCTGTTGGCACAGCTGCCAAGCCCCCGGTATTTATTCTCGATGGTTCGTGAATGTATTGTTGTTGTGCATTTTCTCTTGCTGCAGCTGTCAGGCGACATTGAACAAAATCCTGGTCCTGATTTAGCAGGGGTACTAGCTGAACTGAAGAAAATATCTACTGGGCAATCTAAACTTATCTCGGAAGTACAAGAGCTTAAAAGTCAGCTACTAGAAACCAATAACACCTTGCTTGAACTCAACAAACGGCTATCGAATGTGGAAACCGACTGCCAGCAAATCGAGCCCCTGAGGCAGCAGCTCGGAACAGTGCAAACTGACACAGCTGAAACAGCTCGTCAAGTTTGTAATCTTGAAACCCGTCTTGATGAAGCGCAGAACCACTCTCGGCGTAATAAGTTGATATTTTATGGCATTAATGACACAAACAAATCTGAATCATTTGCAAAGTCAGAAGAACTAGTTATTCGACTATGCTCTGAACAACTGAATTTTTCCTTAGAGCCAAAAGAAACTGAGCGAGCGCGTCACCAAGGTCAATACTGTCCGGATCGTAACCAGCCTATTATAGTCAAACTTTCTTTTTTTAAAACCAGGGAAGCCATATTGTCAAATGGTCATAAGTTTAAAAATACTCCTTACAGTGTGGGTGAAGATTTTTCTAAAAAAGTACAGATCGCACGCAGACACCTAATCACTTTAGCAAGAAGCAGGCCTGTCTCTTTTTCTCTTCACTACAAAACATTATCGATTGGCCCAAAGCACTACATGTTTGACGAAATATCTTAATCTGTTAAAGAAATATAGCTAATGTGCAGTCACCACCAGCTGTCCTGACGTACAGTGCCCGCCCCTCGAAAATCTTTTTCAATCTCAGTTATCTTTACCAATGTTACAAACTTTGCTTCCAAACATGAACAGGGCTACCCTTTCTGTCTACCCTGTCCTTTTTCCTTTGTTAGCGTGCTGAAACAATCTTGCAAATATGACTACGCACCAACTAGCCCAAGCTTCTACACTTGTGAACAGGTAGCTGACCTCGTAACTACATCTGAAAGTGACTTACTTATTTTCACCAAAATGTGGCTTACCAATTAAATTGATGACAGAGAAGTTATGAATGAACTGCCGAACTACGATGTTTTTTGCAGGGATAGGCGGGGTGCTCGAGGCAGTGGTGTTTTAATCGCTTCCAAAAAAGAGCTGAAGTGTTCCGCTATCCACGTGACTACGAACCTTGAAATTTTATGGCTTATCTGTCGAGCTAACCTACAGCTAATACTAATCGGTGTTTGCTACAACACCCCCAACAGCAGTGCTGACTTTTCAGGAGAGCTCACCAATATCCTGGCCTTTCTAACGAAAAAATTCCCAAACGCATGCATCTTACTTTTTGGAGACCTTAACTACCCTCAAGACTGGATTAATTCGTCTAGCTCAGGTAGCAGTATTATAGGAGTCAAAGAGTTCCTTGACATTTGCCTAAATTTTAACCATACACAGATGGTAAGGGAGCCCACACATGTGACTCAGGATACTGCAAATATCCTTGACTTGATACTAACCACCCATCCAGACAGCATGTCCTCCATTAGCTATTTACGCGAAATAAGCGATCACAAAATAATTCATGCAGTTTTTTTTTTCTTTTTCTCCAGTCAAACATTATACTGATCGCAAAACAATCTGCCTATACGATAAAAGGGACTATGTTGCAATAAATAGCGAGTTAGAAGCGTTCTACGAATCATTTGTATCGGGCTTTGAAAATTGCTCGATGAAAGAAAACTGGTCGCTTTTCCAAAACAAGCTGTCTAATCTTGTTATGCAATATATACCAACAGCCGTACTTCGGCCGAATTGCAACCAACCATTGTTCACCAACACGTTAAGAAAACTTGAAAACAAAAATAAAACGGTTGTTTCGCTCAGCTAAACTTCGGCCGAACCCCAACTCCTGGGATAAGTATTACGAAGCTGAATGCACCTACTTGGTCGCTATTCAACAACACAAATATTCATTTTTTCATTCATATTTACCTCGCATGCTTAATAGCAACCCCCGAAAATTCTGGCAGGTCATCAACCCAATTGATCCTCTGGTATCACAATTTCTAAAGACTGTGAAGTTTTATCCGACATACATTGTGCCAATGTGTTTCACTCCGGTTTTGCATCTGTTTTCACAATCGAACCACCCATGCCTCTCCCTGCATATTCTATTCCTGTATTGCCTTCAATGCCGGATGTAAATTTTTCACCAGTCGGAATACATGCACTGATTGACAAACACAAATTATTCTCATCAGCCGGTGCAGATGAAGTCACTTGAAACTTATTGAAAAACACTAAGTGCATATCTTCCATGAACCTAACCCTGCTGTTCTCGCAATCAATATCCTCAGGCACCCTTCCAGACGAGTGAAAAAAGAGCAAGGTCGTTTCAAGTCTATAAACCAGGTAACCGTGAATCTCCATTGAACTATCGCCCCATATCCATCACTAGTATACCTTGCAAAATCATAGAACACGTCATATTTTCAAAGGTTGTGAATTTTCTTGACAGTAATAACTTTTTCCATCCGTCACAGCATGGCTTCCATAAGAATTTATCATGTGAAACTCAACTAGCCTCATTTCCGCACGGCCTCCATTCAAACCTTGATCATAACATTGTAACAGAACTCATTTTCTTTGACTTTGCGAAAGCATTACATAAAGTGCCTCACCAAAGATTAATGTTAAAACTTTCTCACTTAAACTTGCACCTTAACGTCCTAAATTGGATAAAGGAATTTCTAAGTGACCGATCACAGTCTGTCATTATTAACAACGCTGCTTCTGAATTTCTACCAGTCACATTAGGCGTCCTCCAGGGCTCCGTTTTAGGTCCGCTCTTATTCTTAATATACATAAACGATCCACCATCCCACGTATCATCTAACATTCGATTGTTTGCAAACGATTGCATCCTTTATCAATCTATCATTAACAAGAACGACCACATCTCATTGCAGAATGACGTAAATAACATTAAAAACTGTTGTGATCAGTGGGTGATGGTCTTGAATGCAAATAAATGTAAGTCCTTGTCGATTTCTTGCAGACATAGTCATAATCGCATTATTTTCACAATTGACAACACCCCTATCGACCATGTAAACTTATACAAGTACCCAGGGATTACAATTACACATGATCGCAACTGGTGCTCCCATGTGACTAACATCACTTCATCTGCAAACAAAACTTGGGATTTCTCAAATGTAACCTTCGCAGTGCTCCTCAACCCTTAAAACTACTCCCATATAAAACATTGGTCAGGCCTAAGCTCGAATATGCATCGCCCATATGGAATCCTCGTCAGAACTACCTTAACGACGCCATAGAGTCCGTGCAGAGTCGCGCAGTAAGGTATATTCATTCATCATTCTCATACGACATCAGTGTTTCATCTTTAAAAGCAGATTCTGGATTAGAATCAATGGCTCATCGCCGTCGTATCGCGAGCTTATCATTATATCACAAGTTCCACAACAGTTCACTTCGCCGCGCACCTTACATTTCTCCTCCTTCACGCATTTCACTGCATATTGGCCATTCATATAACGTTGCTCGACCAAGTGCGCGCACTGTCGCTTGCTCGTCATAATTTTTTCATCGCACAGACGAAAAGTGCAACGGCCTTTTTCACTACGTCGCTTCCATCACCACCTCAACTGCCTTCACAGATGCATTAAGATTTTTTTTTTTTAAGAGTCTGTAATTTTTTTTCCTGTTTATATTGTATACCCCAACCTTTATTTAACACCCCTGCGGGGTCTTTAAGGTGAAATAAGTGAATGAATAAATGAAGTCTAGCTGGTGTGGCTTTTTGCAAACCACCCAACTTTCATTACGTGAAGGCAGGAGCAAGATGAAAGGGCTCACCACGGCAGGTGCGCAACCAGTCCACATTGAAGGCCTCCATGTCTGCAGGTTCAGTGAGCACTGCAGACGGTCCCAGCAGACGTTCAAAGGTGGCCACGTCCACGTCACTCAGCGTAGCGAATGGGCCGCGGTTTTCGTGCACACGACTGCTGCTGGACATGAGGCGTCGGCCAAACTGCCCACAAACACGGACCAGCTTTCCAATCCCCATTGAGCTGACTGCAAGAAACGAGGCAGAATCCTCTTATTCCATTTTACTTGGGAAATTTAAACGAGTAAGACATCAAATTTTCTTCTTGTGCGTTTTTAGTTTGAAACTTCTTACTGCTCCAGGAGGCATATTACGCTTCCAAAAATTTACATACTCTTGGGAAATACTTACATATTTCATTCCTTACGTTAAGAACTTTAAGTATCGGTTGTAGGGCAGCGAGTTGGACAGTGACTTCACCACCTAGAACCCATGGCAACGTGGGCCCACCAAATTGTTACGCAACTCGTGCCGCATCATCTGCCGTCACTCGCACGTGCAGGCAACCATCCTGATGCTTTCAACATTTGCTTAAAGCAAAGCTACTGTTTGAGTTAGTTCATGCATTCTTGAACACGTATATCAGGGGGCTGCGCAAAAAACCAGCACGCATTCGGGAAAAAGCACAGGGCGAGCACAAACAGTTTGTGCCATGCTGTGTACATGCCTCTCCTTGTCTCTTTTTTTTTTTTTTTTTTTGCACAGCCATGCTATGTGTTCTACTCGATTAAACATCCCAAAAAGAGAAGGTTAGCCAGTGCAAAGATTGTGTGATATTGTATGCGCTAAAATTTTTTAATGGAAAAATTTAGTGCATACTAGATTGCAGTATGTATGGAGGTGTTTGTGAAGTAGCAAGCTACTAGAAGTTGGTGCTGACGCTTTACTTTGTTATGCTTCAGACAACCACTTTAAAGTCCCACTTCTTTGTCTTTAACAGGTGTTGTTGGTGAAAACATATTTAAAAAAGACGTCTGAGACTACGCCACTGCCGAGAGTTGAAACTAGCAGAAAAGTGGAATACACTAGGTTTATGCAGTAACGGTTCTGTGCTTGCCTGGTTCCTCTAAGCAGAGACAGAGATGGCTCCACCTATCTCAGGTTTACACAAGAAGTGCGTAGCCAACCTAAAAATCTCCACTGCCATGCATGCAGGTTCACGTGACAATGCAAAACATTTCAGAAAACGCCAGAAAACTTATCTAGTCCAGCAACATGCCGAAAAAAACAAGCAAATGCGGTTCACAGTCTTTCTAAGCTCTGCTATGATTTGATTTTTTTTCTATTCATTTATTACAACACATGTCATTAGAGGCAAAGGAAACTTCCTCAAGGGACTTCATCAAGGGGAATTCCTCAAGCCATTTTACAATGGCTTGAGAAAGTCCTTCGTCTCTTCACAGCCAAAGACAGCAGCTGAGGCAGAAGCATTTCATTCACTCTGTTCATGCATTAACTCGAACAAATTATTTTAAGAAGAATATGCAACTCGAATAAACCTTCCCATGTAGTGGTGCTGCAGGTCACCACTCATTGCACGGCACTATAATGTGGTGCGACGCCACTAAGACTTTTTTTACACTGGCTACACAGTCATGTCGATGTCAGTTGTGCTAGCAATCAATCCCGTGCATTAGAAAAAGCATTTAGCCATACTTTCGAAGCAAATTCAGGTATATTCCAACTGTACAACCCTTAGCACTGACTGTCTTTGCATATAAAGAAAATGCGCAACAGCCTCAAACTTTCTTTTCTCAAATCCGTCATTTTTACAGCTTCACCTAATTTGCTGCCATCCTCTGGTACTTTTTTTGTTCCCTAGGCATACTGCCTATCTAGATATTATAACATAAAACAAGCTTCCCTGGTCATCAATTATAGCAGCTATTAGCACATTCTTGCTTAAAATTTCTGGTTCTTTAAAAGAAAACTTGAAACAGCACAGTCCAACGTTAATCATCTAGCATGTGGGAAACGTACACTGAGCCGGTGGTGCTGCGATGCAGGAGAGAATGAAAGCAACTTGCATGCTCCGTACAAAACAAAAGATTGTCAGAGGCTCTGCTAACACTATAAAATACTTATCACGCACACAACATAGATAACTTTGGGGCACGCTGAGCGTTATTGAGACTGCATAACTCAATGAAGAACAACTTCTTGTGTTTGCAGCTTTAGTTACCGTGTGATGATGTAGTAACCAAACTAACAACGGAAGAGCTTCTTGCAAGACAGTGACGGCAAATCGGTGTTCATATCATTACACCATCACCAGGTGTGACATCGCTTTAACTACTGCAAATTGTAACATCAGGCATCGGTGGGTTGCTGCCGTTTGATAAGTGTTTGAAAAATCTGGTGGGCTTCCGATATGTTGTAAAAAGTCAGCAAGATCTTCGATGATGTTCTCATTATCAGTATGTGATAGCATGGCATCCAGTACAGTGGTGGCTTCTTGGCTAAAAACAAGTTTGAAAGGGGTCACACGTGCAGCCTTTTGTTGTACATATTGTTACAGATGTGATGGGTTTATTTACACTGAAAAAATGTCAGCGCTCTACCGTCACTGCCAAATCACCGTTCCTCGAGAGCGTCCGAACTCTTCTTCTTCCTCGCTCTTTCAGTCCGCGTTACATTTCCCTCCGGGCCAGACGAAGCTCACCGAGCGAGTAGAAGCGATCGGTTGTTGTAGGGCTTCAATCAGGCAATGTGCACAATTTGCGTCTTGCGCGAGCGCCGGTTCTGAGCTGTCACTTTCGCAACAGCGTAAGTGATGCCACTTAGGCACTGAGTAATGAAGAATGGTCCCGAGTACTTAGAAAGAAACTTCTGGCAAAGTCCCTTCTTTCGAACGGGCGTCCACAGCCAGACCAAATCACCTGTAGCGAAAGTCACGGGCGGGTGTTTTGCGTCATAACGGTCTTTCGCGCGAGCGTGGGCGGAAAGAGTTCGGAGCCGAGCAAGTCGGCGAGCTTCTTCGGCGCGACACAAAGTCTGCGCGACACTGGCGTTTTCGTTCGTCAAAAAAGGAAGTATGGTGTCAAGAAAACTTTGGGGATGACGAGCACAGAGAAAAAAGAAAGGCGTATAACCCGTGACTTCGTGTTTCGCGGTATTAAAGGCGTATGTAACAAAAGGTAATACGGCATCCCAGTTCTTGTGATCCGCTGCGACGTACATTGAAAGCATGTTGATGATGGTACGATTGGTGCGCTCAGTGAGGGCGTTGGTCTGAGGGTGGTATGGCGTGGAATGGCGGTACTGACACCCACAAAGCCGTAGCAACTCTTCGACAACGTCAGCGGTAAACTGTCGGCCGCGATCACTTATCACCACACGAGGGGCCCCGTGATGAAGTATGATCGAGTGTAGAAGAAACCATGACACATCAGATGATGTGGCTGAAGCAACCGCCATCGTTTCAGTATACCGCGTCAGGTAATCTACGCACACAGTAATCCAGCGGCGGCCGGTGGTAGACTTGGGGAAAGGGCCCAGTAAATCTATGCCGACTTTTTCGAATGGTGATGTCGGTGGCTCAACCGGCTGCAGTGGGCCGGCCAATGGCGTGGTAGGTTGTTTGTGGCGTTGGCAGACATCACAACTTGCGACGTAGTGCTTTATGGTTTTCCAGAGTCGAGGCCAGTAAAAACGTTGTCGGATACGGTGAAGCGTTCGGGCAAATCCAAGGTGCCCAGACGTGATGTCATCGTGCATGGCTTGGAATACCGCAAGACGCAGGCATTCTGGCACGACGAGTAGTAGCGTGGAGCCATGGCTGGAGTAATTCTTGCGATATAGTAGGGCGTCATGAATCACGAATGGCGTGGCGCGTTTAGAGCTACGAGCCACACCAATTATTGGTTTCAGCGAAGGGTCACGCTGTTGCTCGTAACGGAAGACGTCCAAATTTAGGAAGTTGGATGAGACTGTGGCCACGTAGTTGTCGAAATCATCATCATCAGCATCCACAGTCGGAGATGGAAGACAAGATAAGCAGTCGGCATCTGCGTGACATCGACCGCTCTTGTAGGTCACAGAATAATTATATTCTTGAAGCCGTAAGGCCCAGCGAGCCAACCGACCAGCTGGGTCACGTAGTCCGACAAGCCAGCAAAGCGAATGATGATCTGTGACGATCTTGAACTGCCGGCCATACAAATAAGGTCTGAACTTTTGGACGGCGAAAACAACTGCAAGACATTCCAGTTCGGTGACAGTATGATTCCTCTCCGCCTTAGTCAAAGTACGACTTGCGTACGCCACGACGTGCTGGCGGCTGTCGTGATATTAAACTAGCACGGCACCAACACCGATACGACTAGCATCTGTATGCAGTTCCGTGAGTGCCTCCGGGTCGAAATGGCGCAAGAGGGGCCCAGAAGTAAGCAAATATTTCAGCTGCTCGAAAGCAGCCTTACACTCAACGGTCCATTGGAATGGGGCGTTTTTGCGGAGCAACTCTGTCAGGGGATGAGCCAGCTGAGCGAAGCCTTTGATAAACCGACGAAAATAAGAACACAGGCCCACGAAGCTACGGAGATCCTTCACAGACGTCGGTTGCTTGAAGTCTCTGACAGCACTGATTTTGTGTGGATCTGGTCGTATACCGTCCTTGTCGACTAGATATCCAAGCACAAGGGCTTGACGCTCACCAAAATTACACTTCTTTGCGTTTAAAATGAGACCAGCTTGTTTGACGCAATCTAGAACAATACTAAGCCGATGGTTGTGCTCGTGGAATGTCTTGCCGAAAATAATTACATCATCGAGATAACACATACATATCTCCCATTTGAGGCCGCGAAGGATGGAGTCCATGAATCGCTCGAAGGTAGCTGGGGCAGTGCATAAGCCAAACGGCATAACGTTGAATTCAAATAACCCATCAGGCGTGACAAAAGCAATCTTCTCTTTGTCAGACGGATGCATTGGTATTTGCCAGTATCCTGACCTTAGGTCGACGGACGAAAAGTATGCGGCCGAGTGCAAACAATCAACAGCATCGTCGATGCGTGGTAGCGGATACACGTCTTTCTTTGTGACGGCGTTGAGACGGCGGTAGTCTACACAAAATCGCCAAGAGTTGTCTTTCTTTTTTACCAATATAACAGGAGCTGCCCAGGGACTGCTTGACTCTTGAATAACGCCTTTCTGCAGCATGTCGTTGACCTGATCAGCGATCACTTGCCTCTCTGACGGGGATACGCGATAGGGTTTCTGACGTATCGGTGCAGCATCTCCTGTGTTGATGCGGTGGTGCATACGGGATTCGAGCAACATGAAACAACGCTTGTTTTGAGCGAAATCAAAGACTCCCGCGTTGCGTGTAAGTACCTCCTCAAGGACATTCTGCTCGGAAGAAGCCAAGGACTTATTGATCATACGTTTAATCTCGGCTGAGTAGTTGGGCGCAGTCTGACTGATGGCTGGAGACTCTGAGACCATTCTGACGTCAATTGTGGCCTGCTCCTCGAACGTTCCCAGTTTGAATCCGGCTGGTGGAACAACAGGCTCTGAGGCTGCGGTGAGCGCCCACAAGCAAGCATGTCCGTCGATGGCTGTAAGGACAGACCGTCGGACCAGCACATTCTTCTTGATGGCGTTTGCATGATCAGGCTCCACAAGTCCAGTGCAGGGTCCTGAGCGGACATGAGAAAAGCACACGGGTACAAACACTGCTGTCCGACCAGGGATTGTCACATCTTCAGACGACGAAAGAGCATCGATGGGCAGAGTCGGAAAATCGTCAACTATTGCAGCGGGCAACGTACTTTGTAGAAGAATCTCTCCAGTTCCACAGTCAAGCGTAGCGCCGCATTCATGAAGGAGGTCTATCCCTAAAATGACGCCATGAGTTGCCCGAGCCAGTACAGTGAATTCAACTCGGAAATTTTGTCCACCAATCGTGAGTACAACTGAACAAATACCAACAGGGCATAACGCTTCGCCTCCAACTTCACGAAAAGTTTCTTTACGATTCCACGCGAACATAACTTTGCGACCCAAGAAACGATGTTTGAAACGAAGGCTCATAACCGAAACAGCAGCACCCGTGTCTACAAGAGCAAGAGTATTTACACCGTCTATACACACACGCGCTTTGTTCATCAACATCACAGCAGAAAAAGGAATTGGCGAAACTGACCGTCCCGCGACCGCACCTCCATCGGTCACACCAGTTAGTTTCCCAGCCGATGCGGGGAAGGTGACCGACGACGCAGAGACGGCGACCGGCGGGACCGTGTCGGAGGCGGCGTCAGGCTTCGCTCGGAGGCGGGGGACTCGCTGCAAAATTCTTTAGGCCATTGCTGTCGGGGACGGTGGTCGGCCGGGTGAGAGGTCCAGGTTTCGTGCACACGAGGCGGGTGCGTCGAAAAACGTGGCGGCACAGGCGTTTCGTACATACGAGCCGGATACGTCGAAAAACGTGGCGGTGCAGGCGGCCGTCTGGGACAGAAGCGCGAAATATGCCCTGGGTGACCACATGTGTAGCAAACGGGAACTTGTCGGCTTACATTAGCAGGAGCAGAGGTGACAGAAGTACACGAAGACGGGTCGTGCTCCGCAGGAACATTTTGTGATGACGCATAGTAATCTTCTGATAGAGGCCTGGTTGACGACGGTCGGAGGTCCGCAGCGGCACGTCGAGATGATGACATCCGGTGGTGGCCACGACCCATCGGGGAAAACGGAAGCCGCGGGGTGAAATCTGCAGTTTCTGTGCGTGGTCGGTTTTCGACGTGGCGCTCTCGCATCCAGCAATGGGTTCGGGGCACGAGGCGAACGAGCATTGGTGGTGAACGTCAGCTGCTTGAAGTCGTACGAGCTCTTCTCGAACTACCCGACGTACGAGAAAGGGAATGTCTTCGCAGGTGGCGACGTCGATACTTGCGACAGTGGGAACATTGTCCAAGCGCCCGAATTTGGGTAGAATTCTCCGGGTCTTCAACGCCTCGAATGCGCGACACTGCTGCCTGAAAATCGAAGGAGTGTTCAAGTTTTCTTTTGTTATCAAAAAATTGTACACGTCCTCGGCGATGCCTTTTAACAAATGACCGACTTTGTCTTCGTCAGACATATTTGCGTTGGCAATCCCGCAAAGCTTCAATGTAGGTTGTGCACGTCTCGCCGGGCAACTGAGCTCTACGCGACAGCGTTTGCTCAGCTTTCTTTTTCATGGAACTCGTGTCCCCAAAGCAGGCTTTCAGTTCCTTAACAAATATATCCCAAGTGGGGAGGACATGTTCATGGTTCTCAAACCAAAGCAAGGCTGTCCCGGCAAGGAAGAATACTACGTTCACGAGCTTCGCCGGTGCGTCCCATTCGTAGTAGCGGCTCACTCTGTCGAAGTGTTTTAGCCAAGCGTCCACGTCTTCGTCAGTTTTACCTGAGAAAATTCGTGACTCGGGTGCCCAGCCAGTAGTCTGGTTGTCGAGGTCAACGGCCACCTTGTGCCGTGTTGGTGGCACTGGTGAATGCAGCAGCATAGTGCGTCAATGGGATTGCTGTGTCGTTGTTCATGCTAATGTTGTCCAGGGGTAGGCCAGCTAAGCGTCTGCTTCTTCGAAGAACTTCTGCTGCGGGGTCCAGGATCAGCGCTCTACCGTCACTGCCGAATCACTATTCCTCCAGAGCGTCCGAACTCTTCTTCTTCCTCGCTCTTTCAGTCCGCCTTACATAAGCTGTTACAGATGTGATGGGTTTATTTACACTGAAAAAATGTCAGCGCTCTACCGTCACTGCCGAATCACCATTCCTCCAGAGCGTCCGAACTCTTCTTCTTCCTTGATATTTCAGTCCGCCTTACATAAGCTGTTACAGATGTGATGGGTTTATTTACACTGAAAAAATGTCAGCGCTCTACCGTCACTGCCGAATCACCATTCCTCGAGAGCGTCCGAACTCTTCTTCTTCCTCGCTCTTTCAGTCCGCGTTACAATATTATACACAAATGTGAAGTAGCTGACAACTTTGTTTCATGTCTCATGTTCAATGATCACTTACAAGACTGTCAAGACTAACAAAAAGATGATGCGTCGTTCAGCTGGGTCGGTGACTAAGTGCCCGGTGCTGTTTACTGATACCCTACATATAGATCTCTGTAAACACTCAGCAGCGTCCTCGGTCAGTAGACTACTAGTGGTGGTGCAAGTGATGCTACCTACTACAACAAACTACAACAACACTACATCTTCCTTTCGAGGATCTACAAATTCAGTTTTTTCGGTGGTACCACATGCCTCCCGGACCTGGTAACCTTGTGCAGTATGTTTTCAGGGTCTGTCCAGATACTGGTGTCATGCTGGTCAGGTGATGGTTCCTCCTGGCCGACCTTGTGCTCCTCGTTAAGCCCTGGGTGCGGAAGAGAGAATGGGGATAATGCGGTGGGATCTGCGGAAAAGGCACGAGATGTCGTCAGTTATGTTGTATAACTTTGCTGGTTATGCGGACTTCGAGCATGTACTGTGGAGCTGCGCCTCTGCCGGTCCCCCTTTCACCCAAGAGGAAATGAAGCGACTCATTAAGGCCCAGGACCAGACCTCTCAAATCCTGGCTGTCCAGAGGGCCCGCGCGAGGGCCGTCAGGTTTAACCTGATGGTCCCCGAGTGGGCCTAGCCAGGTGACGCTGAGTTTACTCGCGTCTATTGTGGACCGAATAAAGTTGTTTCACTCACTCATAACTTGGCTGGGAGTTGCGACGATGTATGATCGTGGACGCAGAGCTAAGCTAAGAACTTTAGCCTGTCAGTCTGCATCAGTTACCGACACCTCGTCTCCTAAAGAGAGGTCCCAGAGCTCTCTTGCCCCATGTCAACAGGTAAAGTCCCGAGCGTGCCTTTTCTTGGCGGAGGCATGCTTCTGAAAGATGACATCTAGTCATCGTAGGTCCGGTGAGAGCTTGCCCTAGTTCCTGGGAATGCGTGTTTGTAACCGTCGCCTTTTGAGGAGTTGGGACGGGCTGTATTAAGTGAGACCTGGTGTGTCACGATACATCAGCAGTGCGAGGAACCAGTCGTTGCTCTTAAGGAAAAGATCCTTCACAGTCTTAACAGCCCGCTCCACTGTACCATTCGATTGAGGGTAACCAGGAATGCGTGATGTGACTAAACCCATAGTTCTGGGCAAAGCTTGCCAGCTCATGTGACGAAAACTGGGGGCCATTATCAATTCGAAGCACTTCCGGTATGCTGAATCGAGCCAGACACTCTTAATAGCCAATACAACTGCCTGGCTGGAAGTGTTACGCAGCATGATAACCTCTGGGTAGCATGAATAATAGTCCACAAGCAGCAGAAAATTTTTATCCCTCCACGTGAAACAAATCTGCCATGGGTACTCCATCGAAGAAGTTGGCAGCAAAGGCTCGACATGTTGGACTTTGGTAGTAGCACAAAGTTCAGATGAATCTGCCATAGACACAATATGTATGCCTATATAGGACCACCAAACAGCATCACTCGCACGTGGCTTGATCGTTTCACACCATGATGATCCCCGTGAATAGAATCCAACATGTCAATCTGCAGAGCCTCCGAAATCATCGAACACCCTCCTTTCATGCGCAGTCTCTTCCACACGGTCAACTGACCTTGATACTTCCAATACTTCGAGAGGTTTGCTGGAACTTTTTTTTTTTTTGAGGCCAACCTTGCCTGCAGTATTTCACGAGGGGTAACGCACTCACCATCCATTAACTAGTGCTGACGAACCGCTTCAAAGCTAACTGGGGTGCCTTCCTCGATGTTGCTGATGACCTCACTGATGTACAACTTCATTTGGTTTTCCTCCACTTGGGAGGCTGGTGCAACCGGTGCTCTTGAGAGAGTGTTTGCCATTGCCAGCAGCTTCCTCGAAACATACAAAACTGTGTACTGGTATCTCTTGAGTTTCAGTTGAATCCTTTAGATTCATAGTAGTAAAGCGTTCACGTCCATAGAACTAAGCAAGGACGTGAACAGTGTGTAAATTACTGAGACCAATGCCATGGCTGCCCTGACTTCTTCCCTTTAATAGAATACCTTATTCTTCATGATGGTCATACCTATGCCATAGACACGGCCATTGTTTTCTCCTCTAATCAACACATTCCCGCCCACCAAACTAGCTCTTGCTGCTTAAAAAGACTGTGTCTAGAGGACAGGTGTCGGGGCGAAAATTTGTACCACTGACCTCACGAGTCTCCAAGCTGTCATTGACGAGAAAATATTGCGATAGGTGAGATGTACAGTTGACTGTAGTCGGTAGGCTTTGCATGTTTTTCTTTCTTTGTGCACATCCAAGCATTGCAAACCTCAGGCCGTCATCGTGAAGGGTGAGTCGGGATGGAGCCGAAGTAGAGATAAGGGGTCCCGTCTCGGGAACCTACCGACGATGTGTACGTTTACTCACTTGACTGCACTGTGAGGATATACATCATTGAAGCTCATGGACTGCCTCATCTTGTGGAACTCAAGCCATTACCACAAAGGGGGAGTCAGGACAGAGTCAATGTAGATGTGAGGGCTCCCTTCTCGCGAGCCTCCAGACGATGCTTGCATTTATGTTAGTCCATGGGTCCTCCTAGTGGTCTTAGTTCCAGCCGGAGTCATGGTCCCGGGTTTCACAGCACCATATCTATATTACTGAGATCAATGTCATGGCTGCCCTGACTTCTTCCCTTTAATGGAACACCTTAATCTCCATGATGATCATACCTATGCCCTAGATGCAGCCGTCATTTTCTTCTATACTCAACACGGTAAATGATCGGTCTCGATAGTGAAGTGTAAGCCCCTAACATACTCTTCAAACCGCTTGACTGGCCATGCAACTACCAAGCCTTCTTTTTCCGTCGGGCTGTACCTTCGCTCTGTTGGTGTGAGGAAGCGTGATGCGCAGGCCATAGCTCGACACTCTCCACTTGGTTGGTCTTGTAGCAAAACAGCACCTAAACCAAATGAACTGAAGTCTACGGGTACGATGGTTGGGTACAGTGGGTGGTAGTTAGCCATGCAGATGTTGGACATCATGTTTTTCAACTTTTGGAAGGCAAGCTACTGGGCCAGTCCCAACACCCAGTCACGTTTTTCGTTGAGCAATCATCGAATAGTAGCACTCGCCTCTGACAGATGTGGTATGAACCGTCCCACATGGTTTACCACGCCCAATAGTCTGCGGACACCGCCGACGTCGACAGGAGGCTTGTCAGGGTCCGGCGAAGTACCCCTGCCACAAATAACAACGCCGGAGAACTTTACGCTTATGGCGCCCAATTGACAATTCGACTTGTTCATGGTCAGTCCAGCATTTCTCAGTCAATCCAGCACTGATTAAAGCCGGCTTTCATGTTCAACACAGTCGCGGAAAAAAACCAAAATGGTGTAGATCATGTTTATGACGCCGATTTGACCCTAAAAAATGTAGCTCATTTAGCACTGAAAGTATTAGGGGGTGGACATTATACCGAATGGCAGTTGACGGTAACAATATCGTGCAACGGCATGATGAATGTTGTTAATCCTTCAGGCTCTTCTGCTAGTTTTACTTGATGAAAGCTTGATGTAACATCAAGCTTTGAAAACACCTGAGCCACCACCACCACCCAGTAGTCCCAAAACTTGGTCAACCATGGGCAAGATATGGCGCTCACGCAACACCACCTGGTTCAATTTGATGAAGTTGACGCTGATGCGATATGAACCGGATGCCTTCAGTACAATGACCATACGGACACACCACTGTGTAGGCTTTGCTCTGATCTCGCCCTCAATTTTGAACTTGTTGAGCTCCCCCTTCATGACACCGTGTAAAGGGATGGGGACCTGTTTTGGGACAAGCAGCAAATAGGGGACAGCATCTGGTTTTAGGTGCATAGTGTAAGCTTCTTGCAGCTCGCCCAAACCACAGAATAGCTTGTCTGATGCCACCTGGTTGCCTTGCGTCCACAAGCTGGATATGCCCTTTAGATGTATTGTGAGTGAGCAGGAGTGCTGCAGCAAAACTTTAGCCATTACTTGCTTAAGCACCTCAATGCTCTTGAAGGTCCTTTCGCTTTCAAGAATTCAATGAAAGTCACCAAGTTTCTGCAAAATGTTCATGGCAGCGGCTTCCCCTTTTTTGTAGATGTTGAAAATTTGTTCCACTTTATTTCAAAGGCCGAACTGTTCCGAATAGTTCAGCCATGTATTGAACAGAATGAAGTGCTTACTTTTGAAAATAGAGTAGGAATCTCTCTTGATAACTTCATGACTTGGTTGGACTTTTTTCTTTCATCGACCTTTGTTTCTTTTGAGGATAAGTACTATATTGAGCATCAAAATATATGCATTGGGCCATGTGTTGCAGCAGTTCTATGAATTTGTTTTGAGCTGCTATTTATCGAGTTGTCCTCGATTCTTGAAAATGCCCTGATTCTACATGTTTTTAGATATGTTGACGATTATTTTGCGATTTTAAGTTCTAACCCTTCTGTAACAAAGTAACAGAAGAGTTATTTGTTTAGACAACAAGGCAAAGGGCTTTCTTTTATGCATGAGCTGCTTTTAAATGACAAATTGCAATTTAACCTTGACACTTTCCGAGGCACATGTTTGCTGGGCCTACTGCCTTCACTCTCGTAAAGAACTTTTACCCAATGACTCGGTGCACATGAAACTTGTCAAGAGGGCAACAGCGTCAATGTGCCTTGAATCTGCTTTGTTGCGATCTTGTGCTCACAAAATGCAGGAAAATATTCATCATCAGGTAAAAAGGCTAAATTTAGCCAAGTAAACTTGCTCTTTTATGGTAGCGGTAGTGGAAACCCTCCTTCATAAACTGAAGGGTAAGCCAAAAACAAAGCTGCCAGTGGATAAAAAACCACAGGCCATGCCGTATATGCACAAAGATTCCCACAACTTAAAAAAAGGTGGCAAAGAGGCACAAAGTACCTATTGTTTTTTGAGCCCCACAGAAGCTGGTCGGCCTCCGTCTATGCATTGCAGCACCACGAAAGCTGACCCTTTGTAGCTTGTGTGGTGTGTGTGGTTTATGAAATTCCACTTACATGCGACAAAGTTTTACTGGCCAGACTAGAAGCTGCGTCGTTGACAGGGCTGTGGCACGTGAACATTTAGAGCATATTTCATCAATGTGAAGCGAGATATGTGTATCAATGACACGTCTGTCATGCTGCGTAAATCTGTAGTACAATTTTGGACGTTTCGCTTTCATGATGTGTTAAGCATAGAATTTTCCATTCATGTCCTGCGCTACTGTAACTGCGAACATGTCTGCATGCATATAAAAAAGCTTTTTTTCAAATAAATAGTTGTAAGTTGACACCCTATCCTGTCGCTTTTTTTTTTTTTGCCTATGTGCGTTGCGTCCTCAAT